CCTTTCAACGGAATAGTCGCACAAGTTATTCCATTAAAGCTAATATATAACTAACGATATTTACCTTATACCGGTTATTACATTCTATATTTATTTGCAGTACAAAAAATAAATATGCTTCCAAACTTCTTTGGGTTTTATCAAACTATGAACCTTATTAGAAAAGTTCTTCCGCTTAAAAAATTTCCTAACTTATTGTTTTATTGAAAAATGAACTGTTTCAAAAGAATTTGTTATTAAAAACAGTGTATAGATGTGTATATGTTACACAAAAGTAGTTGTTAATATTACAAACATTTCTCAAACATATTAAATGTAATAATAAGAGCAATTATCGACTGAAATTATATAATGTTCAATTTTATTGATAGTAAATTTTTATAATTTAGTAGATTTTTTTGGCTTCTCATAATTTTTACAAATTACCGGATTTTAAAACCGACATAAACCCTAATATGATCTTTATTAAAAACGCTTGTACGTATGCTTTTAATTCGCTTGCCATGTTTTAATGTTATATAGTACAGTATAATGTTAAATTCTTGAATAAACAATTTTCGATGAACATTTCATCTGTTGTAGGACTTTTGTTCTTCGTGTGCAGCAGATTTAGGTAAATAATACAAGTTTCCGCTAGAATGTGGTGAACATACATTTGCAGAATCTACATTGTATATTTATTTATGTATGAAACCACACGGTCGAGAAGACCGTTTTGTTAAGTGAGAACAAACCGAAAATCGTAATGGACAGTCGGTGATGTATGCATTTTCATTGTAAAGATTTTAATGAATTTTCTGGTGTTAAATAAAACAACAATGAAATTAAAAAAAAAGATCGTTCAGATGTCAAAATATTTAAAAGCAATTCGATGAATCTAGACAACTCTCCTTGATTAAATCTTGACATCCTCGTCTGAATGAACCTTCTAAAATATTAAAAGCCTACGAACTACGAAGAAAGAACTAATTTAAACCAACCAGCATGCTTGCAAAATTTCTCCAAATTAACTTCAATACTAATGAATCACCCATAAATTAATATGTTGATTTTATGCTGTTTAGGGTCAATAGGTCAATTATTACCACAATTCTTTGCCCAATGTCACTTACACCTGTTTTTTGTCTAATATATGTATATTAGGGTGGTTCTTTACAATGACATTTTCGAGTTTCTTTGCTCCCAAGGGCGCCAATGCTTCCAAATGAATAAAAAATGACTATTAATAGTATTAGCTCTTAATATAAACATTTACATAGAGCGCGCGCCAATTAAAAGGTTCTTATATTTATTATTAACATACGTCATTAAGTAAATTCTTGCGTCATCTATACGTGAACTCAAATATTATGACACATAAGAATATTTTATAAACCACTTCTAATTAAATTCATGTGGACCGTTCTATAATATTTATTCATCATGGAATCAAGATAATAATTTGAGTTTCAACATCACCAATTAAATAAATATTTTGCTGCAAAATTAATCTTGATACCATGATGAATAGGTCAAGTGGTTTATAAATATTCTTATGTGTCATAATATTTGAGTTCTTTGAATACTATACAGATGGCGCAAGAATTTACTTAATGACGTATGTTAATAACAAATATAACAAACTTTTAATTGGCGTGCGCTCTATCTAAATGCTTATATTAAGAGCTAATACTGTATATATATATAACTAATGTCTCATCACAAACCTTACTAATTGTCATTTTTTTTTGTTAATTCATTCTGATTGATATCGGTTTTTAATTAATTCCGACAACGCCTTTAAAATTCCTGGAATCTCGGACGGTGTCTAAGATTATTTATTCAGAATCTCAATAATCCATTTCGATTAATCAGAGAGGCGCGATATGGGTCTCGCAAAAAATTAATCAACTCATCCATCCCCTTAATTATGTAATTTGTAAACTTGTGCCTCCACCTGAATTCTGCTTCGAATCCGTTCGCGCCTCCGTTTCGCCTCCAACCTCCAACGCCGATGTGGCTGCCGTTTCATATAATTGCATTATTTTCAGAACAAAGTAAAACAGATGAATTATTGAATTAGAACAAATGCGAATAATTTGTGAGCAGGCACAGGGAATATTTCATTGTCCTAACGGTGCTTTAGTTATTAAATTGGAAATTGGGAATTGAAAATTGAAAAGACTCAGGTCTTGCAAATAATGGTCTATTAATCAATGGCAAATAGATTAGAGACGCCTTATACTTGAATGACGAGAGTGTCATTAATAAAACAGGCACTAGGTGAATAAATTATGAAATAAATATTAATCAAAAATGTAATTTTTGAAGTAAAATTTCTTTGGGGGCGACTAGGGTGTAAATCCGTACAAATGCGACGGAAGTGCGTTACGGCAGATAAGACAAGAGTCGAGTGCCAATGATTCGTCATTCGCTCTCGATGATATATCATTTCATTAAATATCATTTCTATACGGGTCGATTGTGATTAGTTGTCGCGTATGTGAATAGAGATCTGTCGTATGCGTACCGATATCAACAAGGAAATCGGCATAGATAAATAAACGTTTTGAAGTTACATCGTAGTACAAATCTTGATTTAATGAAAAATGCCTGAATCAAAAGAATATTTTACCCTGTTCCTTGAAAATAATTATAATGAAAATGAAAATTTATTGAAATAATTTCTATATTATTCGTAGTTTCTATAAATCTTTGAAGTTATTGAAATGGAAAATATTTTTTAAGCAAAACAGATATTACAGCCGTTCAAAGAATGAGATTATATCGCCAGTGAAAAAGTAAAACAAATACCATCAGTCAATGAATGTATGTTAATTTTAATTACATGAAGTTCTTCAAACACAATTACGTGATGGGTAAAGTTGCGAAAACAATATTTGTTTAAGCGTTGTTTAACAGCAATTACTTCGTTTCTCTAAAGAAGGTTCATTTCTAAATGCTAATTACAATGACAAACCGATCATGTCATATTTGAAGTATGACTTTAATTACATTATTATTTTTAAATATTATACATATTTTTAATGCTATTATAAATATTTTTAATGCTATTATAAAATGTATCATGATATAAATGTGTATAATGGTTGACGCTAATAAATATGTGCATCACGAGTGTTACCATATTACTAATAAACATTATTCAAAATTGTTATATGATGTATTTATTTTCACTTTGGATTTTATATAGCTCATTATTATTAAATTATTATAACTTGCACATAAATTGCAATGAAATATTCATTGAACAATGGCTGGTCAAAGTGCTATAAACATTCCCACCGACAAAGCTTTTCAGTAGATTTAGTTTTGTTAAATTTGCGTACTTTATTTCATGTGTTTATATCATCATATGAGTAAGGGGGTATCATTGTACATACTGCAACTTACTAATCTAATATAAAATGGTTTTTGTGTCTCAAAAGACACAAAACATACTAAACACTACTAAAACCTGTGTTATTGCAGACATATCTAGTTGATATGAATTCATTGCTTTCCAGCGTGAACCACACACTCATCTAGGTTTTTATAAATCTGCTTGCAAATTGTAAATACAATAGAAAAATATCTGAAGTGTTGTACACGCATAATTCACCAGTTAAATCAATTACAATTGAATCAATCAGTCAATACATATAATCCTCGATTCTTTTCCCCTTCGAATGTATATTCCGTGTCGATTTTAACTGATTTTCCTAGCGCCGATGGTAACTTCGAAGTGACATTGGCAACCAAAGCAACCATCTACCACCAGGGTCTGGTCGAATGGAAACCTCCGGCGATCTACAAATCGTCGTGCGAGATCGACGTCGAATATTTTCCCTTCGATGAGCAGACTTGCGTACTCAAATTTGGTAGCTGGACTTACGATGGTTTCAAGGTTAGTCGCAGTTAGCCGTGCGGGGGACGTTTGAACGTTTTGGGGACGATTTTTAATAATTATTCATTGATTCGTGAATCCATCGTCGACGTGAATTAGAAAAGATTCACTTTGCATGGTTATAATATGATCTATTAAAAACAGATATGCTCAGTACAAATTTTATATGATATTCATTCAAAGTATAGTTTCGCGAAAATAAAATATATACGTAAAATCCCTAAGACGTACAACGGGCTTCTACATCAATACCCGTCTGCGATTTGATTTTGCCCGATGCATGATTGTACAGCATGTTAAATTTCATAAAAATTACTTATGATTAAATTAATTTGTTTAATGCGTTTTTAACAAGTATTTTCCGAATGTAATCTAATAATCGCCCAGTAAACACTGTGTGATTTGAGCGGCGGTAGCAACCTGAAATCCACAAACGTGCCTTCAGCGCTGTGACATTCATGTGGATTCTATGTGGATTTCAGATTGCTACCGCCGCTCAAATCACACAGTGTTTACTGGGCGAGAATCGAATCTCGTACAATACCAATATGGACTTTTGCATTGATAACATTTCATTAATTATTTCATTTATTATCAATGGCTCTTTCAACTATTGATCTCTTCATCTAACAATGGGAGAATATCTTGCATCGTTATTTTAAATAAAATAAATTTGTAGAAACATACGATATTTTCTATCGAATTTCTCAAAGTTTACAAAATTTAATTAATCACTAGTTTTTTAAACAAACAAATATCCTATAACATTTTGTTTAAAGGTCTTATATAAAAAAAATAAAATTATACATCTTAAAGCTTTAATGTTACTTATTTTCATTTATGTTTTTAAAGTGCATGTTTGTTTGAGGAAGTTCAATACTATTACATCAAAATTTACGTAAGTATGCGTTCATATCTATATATAAATGAAAATATCATGAGTATCCATGGCCAGTTGAATGAAGGTAACAATTATTTTCAATTTTTCACATTTCATATGATTCTAGCAAGTGTCGCAGCCGTTTATGAATCGACGTTTCCTCCGGAGGGCGTACAATGGAAACAATTGTGTGAAATTTCATATAAAAATTCATTAGTTATGGATTATTTTCAGTGCCGATGGTAACTACGAAGTGACGATAATGACGAAGGCGACCGTTTTCTATACTGGATTAGTGATATGGCAGCCGCCGGCCGTTTATAAGTCCTCGTGCTCCATTGACGTTGAGTTTTTCCCATATGACGTCCAGACTTGCGTTCTGAAGCTCGGCAGTTGGACATATGACGGTTTCAAGGTCCGATTTTACAAGAAAATTCATTCATTCTGTTATTTATTAAAAAATAAATATGTGTTTTAGTAACCACACGAACGATAATTAAAATTTGATTACTTTGCTAGGCACATGTGAAAATCTGACGGAATTTACAATTTATTCTCTCGAGAGTGTTTTAATTAATTTAACTCACATTGAACGGAAAGTCGATTCACTCGGTGTCGTTTATAGGCGACATCCGTATACACGGATCGTCAAGCGTAGCGAAAAGGAATATTTGGGTTTTATTTAACAATAATAAATTTATTACTAAATGCTTTGTATATTCCATCATTTTTTGCATGTGTTGAAAACAGTAATTTCTATCCGATTACAACGAAAAACTAATTTGTAAAATATCGACGTACACGTATATATATTAGGGTGCTCCTTAATATGGACATTTTAGAATTTCCTTGCTCCCAAGGGCTCAAATGGTTCCAAATGAATGAGAAATGAATCTCTAATGGTATTAGCTCTTAATATAAACGTTTAGATAGAGCGCACGCCAATTGAAAGTTTCTTATATTTGTTATTAACATACGTCATTAAGTAATTTCTTGCGCCATCTGTATAGTATTCAAAGAACTCAAATATTATGACACATAAGAATATTTATAATACTTATATACTTAACCTCTCATTAAATCCATGTGGGCTGTTCTATAATATTTATTCATCATGGAATCAAGATAATAATTTGAGTTTCAACATCACCAATTAAATAAATATGCAAAATTATTCTTGATTCCATGATGAATAGGATTTAATTAGAGGTTAAGTGGTTTATAAATATTCTTATGTGTCCTAATATTTGAGTTCACGTTATGTGTCAATGACGCAAGAATTTACTTAATGACGAATGTTAATAACAAATATAAGGAACTTTCAATTGGCGTGCGCCCTATCTAAATGTTTATATTAAGAACTAATTTTATTAGAGATTCATTTTTCATTCATTTGGAAGCATTGGCGTTCTTGGGAGCAAAGAAATTCGAAAATGTCTTGTTAATGACCACCCTAATACATATATATATATATATATATATATATATATATATATGGTTGTGGTGTTTATTTGTAATTTATATATATATTTAAAATTATCTTAAGTGATATATTCAAGACTAATATTAAGGGCGTGCTGGCTGTATTAAACACAATATACATGTTTTTTTTGAAAACAAATTAAATAATTTATCAATTAACAACAAATATATTCACTCAATATTATTTAATTTTATTTATAATTATTTTACTTTTTTCATATTTGAATTCAATATTTTATTATTTTTTATTTTTATTATACCTTTGAATTTCGGTGTTTTTTCAATTATAAACGTTATTTATTGAATTATCACAATTCAATTGATCCAACGTTTTATATGTGAATATTATTATAATTAGTTTTTCTTAAAGAATTATTACACTAAAAACATTTCACTACACTCTATAATTACATGCAACATAATTATTACAATTAGCACGTCTAAAAATGAACATTCATTTTCTAATTGAAAATATTATTTTAATTCAGAAATGCTATTCTGATATGTATTGATTTAACACAAAATTTAACTTAAGATAAAAAATGAAAATGGAAATAAGACTCCCTTCATTTAATATCTTCATGAAAGCGATTTCATTGAATATGTTCGAATATTGTTAATGATAAAAATTTCACATTTGATACAGATTTATACATATACATATACACTTGTATATATACATCAATTATTATTTAACACACAAATAAACAAATGAAAAGTATTAATTAATCATATCACATGAACTTTCGAACATTTCAATGGCCTCTGCAGTTGTATTTAATGGGAAAGGTATAAAATAGCCCAGTGATTTCTAAAATTAAACAAAATTATTAAATATTATGTATAATCAAAAAACGATATATCGATTAACTATGAAGAGTTTGACATCCAGCCTGACATTATTTGTTTTAATTTTAATTGATTAATTAATTAATCTATTAAAAGTGCTTGAGTAAGTAAAGCTTTCAATTAGTTCAATTTGTTTATCAGAAGCATGAACATTTTTGATATACGTACATTTGCATTATTTCAACTTATACAATAACAGAGTTAAGAGGCTCAAAATTTTTAAAATATTGGCAATAATCGATTCATAAATAACAAATCACATATAAGACAAGGTTTGCATTTTCATATTACAACCTCGCGCTATCATTATGAACGATTTTTAATATGCTTTAATAGGATTTCTGTGAATTTCAATGAGATATCGATCTACAATAAGAGGTTTTTGAATAACAGACATATGAAATGTAGTTTGTTATTATATCTATAATAAATGGAATGTGTAAAATTGTGTTATTAAATACTATCATATGGTATTACACGTATCAGTATTCTTGAAACATCTACATATTTACAGCAGAAATTATTTAGCGTGCGCTCTATGTAAATGCTTATATTAAGAGCTAATACTATTAGAGATTCATATTTTATTTATTTGGAAGCATTTGGAACTATATTTTCTAAGAAGTTAAGATAAATTATTTAGTTCTTCCGGATTTCTTCTCTAGGTTTTTCTACTTCTGTTTGCAACTTATAAACAACATGGAATTCTTTGCATACAATTTCAATATTTAAAATACAACATCTATTTTCAAATACCTCTTATTGTAGAATTACCCATAAATTCAAAAATCTAGGTTTTAACTAATACTACTCTCTTGTTGTATATTATTATTTCATTCAACTTTCTTATAACGCATTAGGAGATTAAACGAGAAAATTAGTATTTTTATCTCAAAATTTAGATTAATTCGTAAGCACTTCTCGAATTTCCAAACTGTAATAAATTGAATTAAAAATAATTATTTTTGCAGTAAATTATTTTTATAATGCCGCCTTTCATTTTATACCTTTTCCAGTAAACTAAAAAATGTATGCAATTACATAAATAATATAATATAAAAATATTTATATTGATATTGGATTGATATAGACTGATCATAAGGAATGAGTGTCAATCATAGTTGCTGTAAAATATTGCTATTTTGATAGTTAAACATAAATTAAATTGATCTGTACATAGTAAAAGAAATATTTAGGGATAATGCTAAATATGAGGTTTAAAATTATAAGAATAAAATATTTTGTATATATTTAAACAAGAGCCCTTAAAATATCCACAAAACACATGAATCGATCGAGTAGTGCGTTTTGGTAAATGCTTTTTGTTTCAAATGTGCTTCTTTTGTTATGTATATAAATATAAATATTGCATGATATATGATATCTATTAAAAATTAGATTAAATATTTATATAGTTTGCTTGCATGTGAAACTTTGAAACAATACCAGATTTTATCAACATTGTAAAATTTTCCGTAATATTCGTATAATCATTCATTGCTTTACAGATTGATTTTCTTGATGAATGTTTTTGCTTATTATTTTGGATATTTGAAATTTCTTTCATTTGATTATTATTCCTTAGATATTCATTCTTAGTATTGTTTGTAAATTCACAAATTTTTCCATTTTTAAAGTTACTACCTACACTTTTAAAATAATTCAATTGATTATTTGTGATTTTTTACTTATGTTCTTTCTAACATAAAAAAGAAAATGATGAATAAAATCAATTAAAGAATATTAAATTTAACTGATAATTATATAAAATTTAGTTCATTCATTTGATATAATTATTATATATGGAACACAATATATTTTAAATATATCATAAAAATTGATTAATTTTAAGTTAAACTTTCTCTTTATCAACGATAAATAAATGCATGTTTTGTCACATGTCACATGCTCACAAAAAATACGAAATTTTATTTTAAACTAATTTAACACAATACAGATTTTTTTAAATATGTTGTTAGTCCAAAAGTTTCTAGAAACCCTTATAAGTAATACTCTTAATTTAGTGAAAATGTTACAGACTAAATTTATATTAATCAAGGAAATGTATTATTTAAAATGGACCAAAAATGATTTCGCTTTTTTTAAATACTTTTTATAGCTACAGGACTAAGGAAATTTTTATAGATTATTTAATTATTGCATAAATGTGTGTAATATTACTCTTATATCAATTGCACAGCTTGAAAATTATGAGAAATAATAAAAAAGAAATAGAAACTCATTGCACGCACATAAATATAATGAAATAATATGGATTAAATTAGTTATTGGTTTAAAAGACGAATATTGTTCTTATATAAATGTTTGTTTAGTTTCAGCATTGTATGGGTGTATGTATGTATGCAAAACGTAATTTTCAGTAATCTTATTTTCATAATGTTTCCAAATCTACACGCTATTTTTGACATATTAGTACAATTTTCATAAAAATTCAATTTTACCAGTATATAATTATTGATTTAGTTTTCTATCTAATTGTAAAGCATTCATGTAAAACTCTTCATAGTTTCAAATTGTAAAATCGTAGCAAACAATATTGCCATACACTTTATAAATAATCATAAATATTCGGTTTTATTTATAATAAATTGATTTTTGCTAGCTATAAGAGTTGGTGTTCTATTGAAACCAATATATAATCTAAATTTCGTTAGTTTTTCAAAACAGTTTAATGTCTAAACATTGAATTAATAAAATCAGGGGCACAATTTTAAATCCAAATTAAAGTTTTTCCTCATGGGCGTCCTTGTCATTTTTTTCGAGCAATTAATAAATTTTCTATTTCAGTAAAGTGCAGGAGAATCGTAGCCGAAAAAGCTGAATAAATAAAAAATCATGCTCCACGAGCGGATCCAACGCATGTGCTGTAGTTATGGTTCGTTCGTTTAGTTGGAATGAAATTTGTTGGTGTGTAGTTATAAAATAATAAAAATTCACTTGTACATAAATCATTTCTTAATTGAAAATAATTATCAATTAAAACAATCGATTATGTAGTCATTAATAACGTTGATTTAGGTCGATTTAAGGCACATGGATGAGAAGTCTGGAAGCAACATCGTCGACGTCGGTGTCGATTTATCTGAGTTTTACATGTCTGTGGAATGGGATATCCTAGAAGTGCCGGCAGTCAGGTAAAATGATTATTTTAAATTTAGTACTTACAATTCATATACATCACACTTTTTTCTGATGTCAACTCATCACTATATGAAAAATCAATGATATTTAGTAGGGAATGCAATACCGATGAAAAGTTTCAATACCGGTATTTCGGTAATTTTTCATTTTAAAACCGGAATACCGGTAAATTACCGGTATTTTTATTATCCTAAACAATCGTAAACAAAATTGAATGTTACTAGTACAAATATAAAAAAATGTATATACAACTACAACTATATTCAACTAAACAATAAAAACAATAAAATAAAACAATAAGTTTATTTTTTTAAATAATAATTTAACAAAATTATATCCAATTTAATTAATTCATTATCACTATCGAGTATATTGAGTACTTTTCACCAAAAACAAACTTATGAGTAAGAAAGACCAAAAACTCATGAAAGATCATATTACATTATTATAATAAACGTATTGTCTGTATCCGATGTGTTAAATTAGCATAATCTCCAATATTTAAAAAAAAATAATTTTCTACACTAATTTAAGATCGGATACTTTGTCAAGTATTGTTATTTAAAACAATATGATGGTTCTATAGTATTTCCAAATTTCGAAACGTTTTCGAAAGATAATATTTTATAATTGTAATAAGAAGCAAAAATATTAATCATAAAATTATCTATCAGTCCAATTCTATTTATTGTAACACGATATGAAGCCCTTAGTAAAGCAATAAATATTCAGTTTAATGACGAGTTGAGATAATATTCGACATTTGTTTATTCTAGAGAATCACTTGAAGATATAGCTGTTTATGCGATTATGGAATTTAAAGATAAGTTTGTTCCGAGAAATTTAAACTTTAGTGTATTAGGTATCAAATAGCGCTTATGTAAAATTACCAAAAATATCGGTATTTTTTGGGTAAATACCGGTAAAAATACCGCCGAAAAATCGGGCGGTTTACCGATAATTCGGTATACCGGTATACCGGTATTGCATTCCCTAATATTTAGTTTAGGATAAAAATACTTCGATTAGTATTAGTAAACAACTTTTAACTATCGTTATTAGATTATTTTTTACGTTATTTTACTGCATGAAATTTAGCCTAGGGATAGTCGGTTGGTCACTGCTGTTGTCAAACTATGTGCTTGCAATTCAATTAGTTTAATTATTGTGCCTACCGAGCAATTACGGCCAGGCTATGTACTATGCACCAGACACGAAACACACATCGGACAATTGGGCATACACACATGCAGGGCCGGGTCTGGGGTACTCAGCGCCCGAGTGCTAATTTTTTTCTAGAGCCCCTCTCCCCTATAATTTTAACTTTTTGAACAATTTATCATAAAAATTATATAAATATTTATGTTTTGACAAGATCGATTACAAAAATGTATAGAAGTTCGTGATCCACCGAGATGCTGCCGAACTCTATTAAATTATTACACTTTGTTTAAATTTTCGAAGGATTGAACTTAGTTGAGGTTTGAATTAATACATATGTTTGTTAGATGAAATTTTAGATATTACTAAATTACAAAAGATTTTAAAATTTTATATTATTTTTCTGATTGGTTCGTTTTTGTGGGTTCAAGCGACATCCCATTACATTTTTGACCAAACAGGAATTGAACCGGGAACAGGTGATTAGAGATTCTAAGAAAATTCTTTAATAAATCTGGATTTAGTACACAAAAAATTAGATATAATATAAATGCGCATAAAATATATTGATTTTAACTTTATTTAGAAGATCAAGGCGATTTGCGGGTGCTCATAATCCAATTGTAGTGCCTTCTATCGTTGTCGCTTTACCGAATTATTTTTAAATTCTTATTTTCAATCCAAACTTTTTCGGACATCCAAAAATTTCATTATATTCATTATAGCTTGCAAGAATATTCTTATATTTTCATGCGATTTTTTATATTGAGCAAATTATAGAGAGCAGAAAAATTCTAGCGTTTTATTATTATACATAACACTGGTTCATCATGCTGAATTATTTTAATTTAAATTTTCATTATTTAAAATGTCTAAAATTGCATCGTAAACTTCTAATTGATATCGTAATGCCGAAGTGTTGTTTTAAAGATAAAATTAAATTAAAAAATATTGTCCAAGATTAGTAAAAGATACAATTAAATTCAATATTTTTCGAATGATATTTAAAAAATTATATTATCCGAATCTTGTTCTGGCGCCCCCTAAGGCGTCCGCCCGCATTTTTTGCACGCATTGCATTCAAGGTAGAACCGGCCCTGCACACATGCATATATTATATATACATATACATGTGTGTTTATAATGTGTCATGCTCCAACTTATTGCCCATTTAGGGCTTTTCGCAAAAAAATAATTAAATGTTATAGTTATGAAAATCTTGTTTATATTAAGGTATCAATTATGAAAAATACGCACAAGTGATACATAACATTTTTATTATAATACTGATAGATTTACCTATTAAAGAAATATTTACATATTCAAGAAAGGTGTAGGAATATAATCTTTAGTCATAATAATTTATTTACGTTTTTTTTAAATCGTATAAACATTTAAACTGCTTTCAGATTTCTTGCAATTATTATTAATTATTTAAGTTTCTATATAAAATTTTTATTTTTTGATTTGTGTAAATTGAAATATTGTTGTGTATTTATTGAATTAATAAAATAATTGTATAATTTTTTCCTAAATAGGAATGAAAAGTTCTACACTTGTTGTGACGAGCCCTACTTAGATATCACATTCAATATAACTATGAGAAGGAAAACTCTTTTTTATACGGTTAATATAATAATTCCCTGCATGGGAATTAGCTTTTTGACAGTGCTGACCTTTTATCTTCCTTCGGACAGTGGTGAAAAGGTAAATTGTATAAAGAATAATATTATATTATTACATTGTATATTAAGTTTAATATATTTTTTTCATTAGGTTACTCTATCTATCTCGATTTTGATTAGTCTCCACGTGTTCTTTCTGCTGGTTGTCGAAATTATACCGCCAACATCGTTAGTTGTGCCGTTGCTCGGAAAATACTTAATATTTGCTATGATATTGGTATCGATTAGGTAATATCTGAGCAATATACGATTTGAAATATTCTGAACAATTATACTAATTTCTATTTCATTTTTAGTATATGCGTGACAGTGGTGGTCCTGAATGTACATTTTAGGTCCCCTCAAACGCACAGAATGGCACCATGGGTAAAGCGCGTTTTCATACATATTCTTCCCAGGCTGCTGTTCATGCGAAGGCCGCAATATAAATTTGAAACACATGGGTAAATGAAATACTAATTAATTAATACACATAATTTACTAATAAATACCATAGATCTATTCCGAATCAAACGTAGTTTATTAACTTCCCGTAGGGCAAGTTATAGTAATCGCAAAAAAATTGAAAATGAAATTTTTTATATACCTTTACGTTTCACAGGTTTTTGAATATTTTGGCATACCTTAAAAAAATGGATATATGTGTGCGTGTGTGTGTGTGTGTGTGTGTGTGTGTGTGCTCGGTGTGTGTATAATTTATAAAATTACATTTTTGGAAATAAAATTACGAAACTGACTACCAGATATTTTTAGGCATGCTTCTGGTGGTGTTTTAATGCGGACGGTGCGTGGAAAAGACGTCCCATCTTATTTTCCCTATCATCCCAATTCTTCGGAGGATCAGAGATATATCAGCAGGACATCGTCGAAGGAAGATTTATCTCCAGCCAGGTAAAGTAACATTATGTAGAAAACTATAGTTTCTCTTAATGCAATTTATCAAATTATTGAGTTTATCTTTAAATTAAGTCAAATTATAAAATTTATATTTCCTCAATAGTTAATTATTTTAATAATAAAACTAATGAACGTAATAATATTCGTAATTTATTTAGATTTACTTTATATTTTCATAGGGATTCATACAGTTTTGTGTCGTGAGTCTCCCTCATGTGATATAGATTTTTTTTTATAAATTTCAAACTGTAATAAAGATGAATAGTAAACTTCAGTAGTGAATTTAAAGTAAAAATATTTTAAACTAGATGACCCGACAGACGTTGTCCTGTAACCATGTCTACAATTTTTTAATACAATATACTGATATTTACCGTTTACCTAAAAATAATAAATATTGTTTTTTAAATTACTCTTCACGCCAAAATGCATATGCATTTATAATATTAGCGATGTTAAATGTAGAACTGCTTAAAATAAAATGATGAGTCTCAATACCTACACTATATTAGAAATTGAAGTCTTTTAAACGGTATAACATAATCATAACCATAATATAACACTGGTACTTCATGTTGGATTAAATTAATTTATTTTTTTATTATTTAAGATATCCAAAATTGCATCTTAAAGTTCTCCTAATCGATATCGTGAGGACCGAATTGTATGTATTCATCTTTACTTTCCCATTTGTTGTTATAAAGTGAAATTTTTACGAATTTGAAAAATATTGTGGAAAGATTGAAAGAAAAATCTATATTGAAAATTTAATATCCGAATCTTGTGTTGGCGCCCCCTAAGTCGTGCGCTCGTATTTTTTGCATGCATCGCATTAAAGGTAGGACCGGCCCTGAATAATACTTAATTTCATATTTTAAGTGAATTAATTTTTTCATATGTGTATCATTCAATCTGCCATACATATACTGTATTTAATATTATTCTAATTTCTGGCACATCTCAGCTGCTTTTTGGCAATAATAATGTCGGCATTTCATTTTTCTTATTTATAATCATAAATTTATTATGCATATTCTAATATTGTCTAGGTTCATAAGTAAATTCAAATTTTTGGCAGATGATAGTTTTCATTTGTTTTTAACGCAAAAAATGACATGTAGTTTTTTGCTTTTTTCCATTCATTTCTATAATATTGCACATACTGCCCAGTACTTTATAATCACATACATTCTAGAAAATTTTCTTAACAAACTTTAGAGAGATTTATCAAAATACGAATAATCGTTTAGGAGTATACAGTGAGTGCTTGTAATTTAATATGAACTTTATACAATAGCAATAAAGCTCAAATTGTTTCTACGTTTTAGTTAGAAAACGTTTGTATGTGAAAAAGAAGAGAGCTATTTTTAGGGTTTTTCCGGCAATTGTTCGATTTTTTCTCGCCGTAAGAACCATCCTTGGACTTCAACGAACATTTAAAAAAAAAGAAATGATCAAATTGGTCCAGGCGTTGTTGAGTTATGCGCTTACCAACACATTTTGCGAATCATTTTTATATTATAGATTTTTACATTTATGAATTAATTCTAATTTTTTTATCCTCTCAGTCTCGGTGAGATCGGACCGTTCGGTGGAAGTTGTCAGATTCACGGTCCTCCGGCTTTGTCGCATCTCGGCAGCGACATCGACGATGCGGACGGCGGTATCAAAAGCCCGAGCGTCTTACTGAACCCGGCATTCTCTCACGAATGCTGCCCGCCGCGGATGCACAAATCCTGCTTCTGCGTCAGGTTTATCGCGGAACACACGCGAATGTTGGAGGACTCCACAAAGGTTTGCTATTCGATTAATATCGATGAATGCAATTTTATATACATATTTTAGGGTGATTATATTATTAACTTCCCGTAGGGCAAGTTATAATAATCGCAAAAAAATCGAAAATGAAATTTTTTATATATCTTTACGTTTCAAAGGTTTCTGAATATTTTAGCATACATTAGAAAAAATGGACATATGTGTGTGTGCGTGTGTGTGAGTGCGTGCGGATACAAATTTTCGTCGACGATTTCGGGAACACCGATCAATCGATTTAAATAATTCAAAAAACATTTGATTTGTACTGATAAGGAGACGTGCTGATTAGTTTTTGGCGCGGGCAGGTCTAGCCGTTCCGGAGATACGGGCAAAAAAGTGTGAAAAACGGTAACACAGTTTTTAAGAGAACGGAGTTCAAAAAACATTTTACTTGTATTAACAAGATGAAGAACTGATCAAATTTTCATAAAGGCAGGTTCATGCAACTTGCCACGAGGCAAAATGCCACTTACACTAATTCATGGGTTATAAATACTTAAGTATTAATTAAGTAAATACATTCAATCCTTACAGTTGCTAAAATATATAGAATTCCATTACGGTATTTATTTTATTAAAAAATAGTGATCCTAATATGCAGATCAAGCGAGAGTTTAACACATTTGCTGTTAATTTGCGCCTCGTAGTACTACTCGATTTTACTTAAGCAAGTGAAAATTTTGTTCACTATATGGGTCAGTGCGGTAACCGCATTCACTATATGGGTACTGAACAACGTCTTACTAATAAAGGTAACTTTATTAGAATTTTTGGAGCCCCTTATCCTTTGATGGTAGGGGCCAATAAACATCATATATTAGTATTATATTACATCTGCCGCTTATTACTATTATTATTCTATTATGCTGGTCAGTTTAAATTTAACTTGATCTTGACCTTCAAGACCTTCATCTGTGAATCGAAAATCGACAAAATATTTTATACGAATGCAAATAGAAATTTTGTATCGATAATTCTATTCAATTATGTCTTTATGTGTAACAATACAACTCTAGACGATTATTATTCCTTTGCATAAAAAACAACCTCTTTGAATCATTCAAATCGGACGCTTAGTTCTCTCAAAAACTGCCATTTTTGCACATTTAGCTCTGTATCTTTGAAATGGCTGGACCTGCCTTTGCCAAAAACTAATCACTTCTTCTCCGAATTATTACAAATTAAATGTTTTTTAGATCATTCAAATCGGATACTCCGTTCTCTCAAAAACTCGATTTGTATTTTCTGCACTCTTTGCTCCGTATCACCGTAACGGTTGGACCTGCCTTTGCCAAAAATCTTTATCGATAGGAATCTAGTTAAATTAGCCAAAACCTATGGATTGTAAAAGAAATTGGTAGATTTTTCACGTGACAAAAAATGACTCTATTGACAAGAAATTTGAATAACAATTCAGTAAAATAATTAATTTTGATAAAATGGATTCTACTAATAAGCAACATCAGATATTCAGAAATTTTTATAATATCTTCAGGCATATTTTCTTTACAAATGCAATGCATCAGTACCTACAATTTTACAGTGCTCAATGTTATGCCCAAAGTGTTGACATATATGACATTACATGTAACCGAGAATAGCTATTACACTTAAATACAATTAAAAATCAATTAAAACATAGTTGTAAAGCGTGATTATCTGAAAGAAAAGCAAAAGCGATAGCTCAGAATGCTGGTTATATAAAATGTTTCATTTTTGAGCTATTGCTTACATTTTAGGTGAAAGAAGACTGGAAGTACGTCGCCATGGTGCTCGATCGTTTGTTTCTTTGGATTTTTACTTTAGCGGTACTGGCGGGGACCGCAGGAATAATCTTACAGGCGCCCACATTGTACGACGACCGAGTGCCTATCGATAAAAAATTCTCCGAATTCGCAACGACAACCGTCGTACGATGTCCGCCGCAATAGCGGCAGCTGCGCGCTATCTACGCTACGATGGCGGCCTGAATTATATGTTTTGGTGCTTATGGGATGAACCAATAAAAATGAATAAACGATAATGCAATATTAAATTATATTTATAGTACTAATTGTAAGATAATAATAATAATAATATATTAAAACTTGCTTAAAAAACGATCAAATGACGAATATCGATTAAGTAGACAGTAGAATATATCGCTCCGGATCAAAAATTCGTATAAAACCAATATGATTTTGCCTAATACCTTGTTTTCTTTCTTACCTTTCGAAACTCACTTCATTCATTCTTTTGATTTACTGCTAACTATACGATGATTCTTAGAGAATAACGAGAAAAATATTTAAATATATAATATTGGAAAAATTAGAAATTAATATTGGTGATTAAATGCTAAAATGTTGAAATGATACAATTGAGAAGCAAAACTTATTTATCTTCGCACTTTAAATAGATTGGAGCTCTAAAGTTTTTAACGGATTATGAAAATAAATAACAGTAATGTAAAGATTATTTTATTATACACTGTCAAAGATATTATCATATTACATTAATTACACAGGCCAACAAGGAAAATGGTGCAAACGATTTTAATGCTGTTTTTTAAGTATATTTGGGACGCTGATTTCAAAAATGACATTGGTGTTTTTCTATGAGCTTTAGTTTTCAAGATATGATATATAAGGAATGAAAGTATAAAATAGTAATACAATTCAGAATGTTATTTTAATGAGATATGCCTACTCGTATATACAAACTTACAAGACTCATTCGGTCTTAGTTGGGACATTAGTTGACACTGTGAAAAGTTATTTTTCGTGACGACCTAGAATGGACCAACTTCTTTTTAAGTTACAAACTAGAGCTGATACAAAAAATGGTTTGCAGATTTGAAATCAGCGCAAAAAATACTATAAGAATCAGCTCTAACATTTCATGCACCAAACAAAAAAAAATGTAGGCCTGTGTTATCAATTATTTTATAAGATTTGTTAAGTATTATTGTCATTTATGTTGAATTAATAAGTAAATAAATGAATGACAGACTTTGCTTGATTCTTCTGTTTATTCACTCTATTAAGAGACGTGATAATAAATACTTAAGTTTGATACCGAAAGTAAATAAAATTAAAATGTATTAATAATGCAAAATAATTTTCAATTTAACTCACAAGTGCATATATTTTGCTCCTCAATTTTATAATCTTAATATTATTACATATATATTTTTTTTTATTACTATATTTATGTTGGTGAAAAAATCTGGTCGTTTCCCAATATCATCGTGTTCTTCAAATTTTGAATGTAACATTGGGCATATATATATATATATATATATATATATATATATATATATATATAATGACAATATTCATAAACTAAATTATATGTATATAATTATTGGAAAATCATATCAATCTCTTATATATGACAAAACTATATATTTCAAAAAAAAGTTAAAGTTCAAAATTGTAAATTTCTGATAACCCAATGCTTATGTTAAAAAAAATTGAACTTGATATTTTAAACAAATCTTTAAAATATGAAAGTACAAAAAAATATGTACTTTTGTAGTATTCTTTGCACTCATTATTTTGTCATTTGTTATTAGAGAATGATTACCAGACTTGAAAGTAGGAAGGAAATAACCTAAATTTTTCTACTAATTTGCATATAATCTATTCAAATACAAGAAATTGTTACATAATAATACTGAACACATTTCAGTTATCAAAGTTTATGAAGCATATTGTCAAAGGCTCATTTATTTCTGGCATTTTATTTTTCAGTTGATTTCAGCTTTGCTGCAGAAATGCTACAGAAAATTTATTTAATCAATTGTTACATATATACGTTTATGTAAATGTATATAATATATAACATTTAGAAAAAAACTAATATTAGTGCCAAAAATATTTAGTATAAAGTAAATAAAATATTTATAAGTATAAAGTGAAAGTAGAAAATAGCTGCGGGCCAGTAATAAATTATTAAATAAATGTATGTGCATACTTGCATGAATAAGAGATATATATATATATATATATATATATATATATATATATATATATATATATATATATATATATATATATATAACAAATGTATTCTGAGTGGATAAATAGATCTTAATTTGGAAATATGAACAAACAACACTCTTTTTTGCAATAATTTATTAAATAATAATTTTTACAAACGTTTCGAGACTAGGTTTGTCTCATCATCAGTGTGTTATAATTTAAAATTTAAAATATGGAAACCTAAATAAGCATTATGTGTTATCCGTTACAAGTCGTGCAATATACTGTCTTCTGCCCCACCAACGATCGTCGGAGTCCGAATTCTCTATTCAGTCTCAAGTGGTTAGTCACGCAATATCAGATAGGAAAGGAAGGATTAGGGCTCAGTTGAAAAATAGATGTCGTTAGGAGAAAAAATATTCTATGAAATGAGACGGTTTGTTTTTAAAAGAGTGTTGTTTGTTTATATTTCCGAATTTATATATATATATATATATATATGATGTACTTTTCAGATGGTGAAAAAAAGATAAAAACGAAAAGGCTTTTTAACAGGCAATCATCCACATACTAGAAAGAAAATCTAAATGATGTTTCTTAATAACAATTTATAGGATTTCATATATTTTCAATACCAGTCAGACTCTTCTTCAGTTCACAAAAAACACATAAAAGACAAAAATCACACATTGTGAGTAATAAACTAGATTAACAGCCATATTTGTATAACAAATTGATATATTTAATTAAAGAAAATTGAACTTAGAACATAATTAAGTTTTTCTTTCTAATATCTGGGTGGATGCCTTTTGAAGAGCTTATACACACACACACATATATATATATATATATATATATATATATATATATATATATAGTTTAATTATTCATTTCATCCATTATAATTATTTTTTCATGTCAAACATATGTAAGTAATTACGTAAATAATGAAACCTTCAAAATTAATGAATCACGCACAAAGTGCAAATTAAATACTTACATACATCTATGTTTGTATTATCTGTATACATATATAAATATATAAACATAAATGTATGAATTTATTTATATTCTTATTAATTAACAAAAAAACTGCCAATTGAGCATATATTTATACTTTAGTAAAAAAATAATTGCTTCTATTTTTTCGAGTCTTTGTCATTGCAAATTGTGCATATTACACGAAGAAAAGGCATTTTTTAAAATAATATTATGTTAATTTATTTTATATTAAATTATTATTTTTAGTCTTTAGCATTATTGTCAGATTTAAACATCGCCCTTTTTTATCAGTTGATTTGTAACTGCCCATGATTATGTTATATAAAATCAAATGAAGACTTCAATAAGTGGTTTACAAGTTACACAGGAATTAAATCACTATGTAACTTGTAAACTGAGTTATTGACAAAAGCATGATTTATTCAAAAAATTAAATTCTCAAATTTTTATTAAATTAAATATGTCTTAGTCACAAATATAGAAAATTAACTATAAATCCAGTGTAAGTCGTATAAAATATCAGCTGATGATTATTTATTTATAACACCTAGCATAAAATACATAACGATTTTATGAACTAGGTATTTTTTAATTAGCATCAATATTTTTTTAAATATATTTTATTTCAAGACTATTATTTTTCATGATGTTTTTTATTATATAAACCGTTATAATGTTTCTTACTAGACGGTAAACTATTAAAATAATATGTGGATGAGAAAAATTATTCTGTAACATCGTTGAAATATTTTTTAATCGCAGTTAAAATTTATATATAGTATTTTGTATGTATTATAATATTGTTCGATATAAATATGAAATAAACTCTAATTTAGTCAAAAGAAACAGATAAGGAAAGTTACTAATGTTTACACAAAAATAAAATAAGTAATTTAAGACTTTTAGTGAGAAGCATCATTTTTTTTATTTTCATACATAATTAGCTATAAAATAGGAGTAGTTGATGAAATTTTAAAACAAATGAAAAATACATATGATTTTTATTAGCTGTGAGAAATGTAAGATCGTCCATAACTTTCTGTCGAAATAGAAACAAAGATCCTGTAAATAATAAATTATAAATATATACTAAAATAATATATATATATATATATATATATATATATATATATATATATATATATATATATATATATATATATATATATATATATATATATATATAGAGTTGTAATATTGATACAATTGTTAGTTATAAATGAAAAGTGCGAAGTTAATTATACGAATAGAATAAAGTATTTATTTATTATATGCTAAATATTACCATTATTATAACAGACAAGTATTCGGAAATAGCAAAGGTTGATGTTAAAGTTACTGTTAATGTTAAACGAAAAGAATAAATTACATATACATTTGTTTGAAGTTTTAATAAATAAGTTAGTATCTACTTGATACAAAATTTTTTAGCAACAAATATACCAAAAGGAGACAAATTTAGTTGCTGAGGTAAAGTCACTGTATTACAATAATATAAATTGAAATATTTATTTTGGATATCAGTTTGAAAGTCAATCTAGATAATGAATAGATGAATGTTCATGTAAATATTAATTTCTTCTATATCTTGTAATTTTATATAATTTATTATCATTATTACAGTGATCCATACAATTAATATTAATCATTATGCAACTGTCCACAATATGGTTGCGAGTTGAGGATTCTTAAGTCGAGCCCTTGTACTTGGTGTCTTCAGCTACAATATTTTACAAGCTATTAATATTTTTGTCACAAAGAAGTATTTGTTAATATGGTGAGTAAATCTAATAAATCTGACATACTTACAGCATTGTTTCTTAATAATGTAACACACTATAATCTAGTGTATTCTTAATGGCATATTATCTTAATGAATTGTATTAATGCTTTGAGTAATAATGGTAGCTCAATTGAAAAAAGCAACAGAAAGGAAAGATTCACCTACGATTGATAAGCTGTCTAATTTTCGTAAACATAGAATTGGAAAATTATATAAACGATATTCAGTATATGCGAAGCT